TCCAGACAAATGAGAATGATTTGAATTCATAAGAGGTTTGGGGAAGTGAAAGAAATGAAAACACACAGAATATATTGACTTGCATTAACTAGAAAAGCTCGAATTACTGCTTGTTCAAAATTGTAGAAAATATTTACAGATGATATTACTAACACATCAAACCATTTCCGCCACTTCGTCTTCCCCTTCTTTACTTCTGAGCTCTTTCCCTTCTGTGTTCTTTCTTCTTTTTTAGTTGTTCTCGACTTTTTGCCAGTTTTCAGTTTTACCTTTCCAGTCAATACATTTTTTCCCTCATCTCCCCTTTTGCCTTTTGTGTTGCATTTACTCTGTCTATAATTTGTCTCTCATGTGCCTTTTTTCTTTTGTATCACTTGCTGTGCCTCTCTATATATAATTATTTAGATATTTAATTTTCCTGAATCACTTTATATTTTTTTGTCTTAAAAGACAAAAAAGTTAAATGGGAAAGGCAGTTAAATATTAAAGCTGCATAACGGGCTGCTTGCTGTGTTATATACCTTCTTGTTATCCTGGCACAAACTGACAAAGGAAATAAAATGAAGGATGAATGAGGAAAAAAAAAAAAAAGAAGTGTTGACTGTCAGGATCACCATGAAGGCATGGTATAATGACAAGTATTAACCTAGATATTCCTTGGGATTCCCTTTTGGTTTCATCTCTGTTCTGAGTATTGGTTTCAAAACTGTAAAATGAAGATTTTGGCACTTCCATCCCTCAAAGAGGCAATGTGAAGACAAATATATTAGAAGTTTGAGGGGTGACCACATAAAAAGGTAATGACATCATGCAAAAATGAAGAACAGCTAACTTCAAAGTGGCAACAGCTTGACAAACACTTAAGCTGTTGACAAAATATTTAAGTGGATTTTAGACTGTATATTTTCAAATTTATTGTCAGCTGCTAAAGAACACAATAAATTTTCCAACATTTTATTTCCCATATGAGCTCTCGAGACAACTAAATATCATCGTACTATCAAAATATTTTTGAGATACATTCCATTTTCAACTCAATTTTGGAAGATGAATGTTTTCAAACACCAATATATCATCCAGATAATTAATAATAATGCAGAAGAAATGGATAAATTATTTCTATAAATCAGCTTTCAGTTTTTAAAATGTTGTAATTCTGAAAAGAAATATGAAAATTGTAACTTGATTTAATGAAACATTTGCAGGATATCTTATTTGTTCTATTTTTATACAATCATTTTTCAGAATAACCAGTTACTGTGAAGTGAATTTTGTACTTGCAGTTCAAAATTCACAAAATAAAAATAAAGTGAGCAATCAAGGGTGAAGAGTAAATGAAACAGCGTTAGCTTCAAGAGCCTCTTTCAATACCTCTTCTGACATCTCTGTAACATTTTAGTAGCATTGGCAGACAAAACATTTATCTCACTGCTGGAAAAAGAGAAAAGATGGAATAATGTGAAAAAGAAACTACAGTGATGAAGTAAAGTGATGACCAAGCTTTAGTGTAAATTAAGTATTGTTAATGGACCATAGATGTTAGAGCCTTGGTACACTGAAGTAAATGATTATATTCCCACTGAGTCAGTGGGAGTGAGGTTTTCATTCTAATTTCAGACTTAAGCTTTGAAAAGACTTAATAAATAAACACTTGAAGTTCCTCAGATGCCTTAGCTGAACCTATATTTTTATTTTAGAGTAATCTGATTCACTTAAATCCTCATGACTACTGTCAGAAGTAGGAATGCAGGGTTTGGTGTTTACACTGCAATCCCTACAAAATGGGAGAAGCATTTTGGGCAGTGCCTGTGTTACTGTCGCTGAAAGGAAACAGGTTCCTTTACTCTTACTTCTACTGGCAAAACAAATATAGTAAGACTGTTAGCAAATGCTTTATTTCAACACATAATTTGTTACTTAGCATTTTCTTCATGTTTACTACTGTTGGTTGTTTGCTTTCAGAATTAATTTTGATAAAGCACCATCATATTACAAAGAATAATCAAGGAGTGGCCCAAAATAATAGATTAATGTTTAATCAGTCATTTACTTTCCTAGCTTCAATGATTCTAATGATTGGTAGTGTAAATTTGGCGACAAAAATTCCTAATAGACATTACAGAGATAAATGCAGTTCTTCCTGGTTCATAATTGCTGGTAATACTACCTTTCCAGGTGCTCTGAACATATTCTATTGATGGTATTTTAGTTTCTAATATAGAAAGTTGCAAATATTTTATGTATACTATTAATAGAATTTTGCCATTGGAATATATTCAGAAATAAGTTTTTATATAAATATATGCAATTGTGTGTTTTAGGAAATGAAATCCAATGAGTTAGCCTTACATCATGAATATTTATTTTTGTCTCTGTAGTGTGCTGAGTACTACTTTCAGGCTGGGTCTGTAGGATATGTATGTGTATCTCTGCCTTTCCAAGTTGAGAGCTTCATTTAATCTTGACCCCAGAAGACAGTTTCTCATCAAGATATCTGGCCATAGCTTTAAAGGGAAGCTCACACAGCTTTTGTGTTCCTCAAACAATGGCACTCTTCAAAATTGACAAATATTGGCTACAAAAAGGGAATATAAAACTATATTTTCTCTCTTAGTCTAGTGGCCTCTGTAAGTGACTTCTGGAGGCCTTGCACTTGGATGACTTTCTCTTTTGCACCTTTACAGTTGCATCTACTTGTTAATCATAGCCCTTGCTGTTCCCTGATGCTAACAGGAATTATATAAATGATTAAATAAGGACAATAATAGTACATATCTTATAAAACAGAAATTATTTACCCTTGTAGAAAAGATCTTACATAAGTAAGATCATGTTTAAGTGGCGAATGGCCATCTTTAGCTCAAAAGTAATTGGCATGGGCTTCTTGAAAAGTCTGAGAGAAGAAAGTCCAGCCAAAGCCAGTTTTGAATCACACTGATGAGGCAGGGAATTCCTAAAACTGCCATACAAATAAATTGCTTTTCCCATTTTCAATCTTTTCTCATCAGCAAATGCACTGAGATAATCCCAAGATTTTCCGAAGAGTTAGAGAAAAAACACATTTAATAAAAGTAGGAGATGGGGAAAAGGGCGCTTTTTGCCTTTTTTTTGAGAGAGAGTTTTTAAGCAAAGTAACTGAAAGAATTTTTGCAAAACTCTTTGGACAACCTCCCTCTGTCCTCAGAGATTTATACAGGATAAATACAACAAATAGCATCTCTGCATGTTTGTTTATCTATGAAGCTTCACCACACAAAAAGTAATTATACCCTTCGATTAATATCATCCAAGTAATAATATCCTTCTGACTGCATCACAGGAGTAATAATAAACTTTCAACTATTTCAATGAGTAATGTATTTTTGACATTTTACACAAAAATAAAAAGTCTCTTTAGAAATACATACCTTCTATTTGCTCTAGCACAAATTTTAATATCAATAAAATTGTTGTGGATTTGAATGCAGATTTGACCCATTGTACAAAAGAAGTAATAAAATTCTAAGAGACTAGTTACTTCCACAGTTTTCTTCATAACATTATGATTACGCAACTAATCTGTTTTAATAAACTTTTTGTCACTATTCCACATAACAATCATACATTAGCAGACAAGGAAGGAACAGGGTGACATACAAGGCTTTTCAAAACTCCTCTGTTTTGTTTAATTGGATGTTATTTATCATTCAACAAATTAGCTTTGAGAGGAAACTGTCACTCAAACAGAACAGAAGCATTAATATTAAGATACTGCACAGCAAGATGGTTTGGTTAAGCGGTTGCTCCTAGGCTGTTTATCATCCAGTCTTGTGTTGGCATGTAAAGACTTTTCCACATAACACAGTAGAAGATTGTGTGAAATTGTTCATAACAAAAATGCACACTTTCTTCTTCCAAATTATTACTTTAATTACCTAATATAACAGAGATTTAGTGCAATAAGATAATGTGTATTCATTAGAGCACTCTGATTGGGTTTCTTCTTGTCATAATGTTTTATCATTAATGTAAAATACATTGCAATTTTGATATTTTTATTAAGCCAATATCTTTTAAATCTAAAGATCTATCAAATTATAAAAGAAGTTAACTGTGTTACTGTTTATTGAACTTGATTTACTCCATTGAGCTTTTAGTAGAATCAGATAAAATACACAGATCAAAGAAATTTCCTGCCTAAAAGGGAGAGTGAACTGCATGTTAACTTTTTCATGCTACAGCGAGACTTCTGGTAACCCAACCAATAGAATAAGTGCATTGCAGAGGTAAGAATCTTGGGAGTTAGACTTGCAGAAATGCTGCAGTCACTGGCTATAGCTTATTTCAGAACAAGTTCTCTTTTCCATGACTTTGAGCCGTTAGAATGCCCCTTTTACTTTGACTGCATTCCCATTTGAACTCATGATAAAAGCAGGCTTTCAAAGCTGTTCTAAACTGAGCTCTCTTTTTGCCTATTCATTTAAAAAACAAGTAGTAGAATTTGTCTTTTACATATAAACCAAAATTGACTGATTAGTTCTGTTCACACATTGAATTGCATTCTGCCAGTAATGTGAAATCATATTTCATCCATTTGCAATAATAGCACTCTCTAACTCACTTCCTGTAAGCTAGTTTTGATAGCTTTGAGACTGAACAGCACGTAATCCTATGAAGAATTCTGGTTCAATTGGTGGGATCAGTTGCAGTAGTAATTTTAGGATGTGCCTGTCATGTATGAATAAAATCATATAGTATTACTTTAAAATTACTTTCGTGCTAAACCATCTCCAACATCTTTATTCTCAAGATTTTAAAAAGGCCTAGTTTTGTACTTCTTTGGTTCTGAAGGTTATTTTCTAATTTGCTTAGACCCACATACTTTTCCAGTTGAAGCCTTGATTCTGCAGACATTTAAGCATATGCTTAATTCTACCTAGTGACAAAATCTCTTATATACTGACTAACAGAGTAAAAAGCATTAATAAGATTTGATCTTTATTTGTCTTTCAGGAAATCTTTTACACTCCTCCAAATACTTGAAGCAGCCCTTTTATTGAGCAAACTATGCCTGCGAGGCTACAAAGGAAGCCCAAAATAAAAACAGAGATATCTGCACATTTCTCTAAAAAGAACAGTTTTTTCCATTTAAGTTTTAAATGGAAGAGAGAAGGAAGGAGAAAAGTCATAGCAGCACCTGTTACACTGCCTGATAAACCCATCAACAGGGCAAAATGTGGTGTAAACATGGCCATCAGCAGAGTTAACAAGAGAAATGAGCCTCTTACACCCAGAGAAAGTAATGAAGACCTGTAATTGGAATGGTTGCCTTTAGAAATACAGGAATACACAATTTCTGTGGCTGCAAAAAAGGGCAAAGGGTAAGAGAGAAGAGCCTTGGCTAAGAGACATAAATTCACAAGTGTTTTAAGAAATGATGGCAGGTTGTCTGTAATAACTTCCTTTGTTTCTTCACCCCAGGTCAAGAAAGCAGTCAGTGCAAAGGTTGTTTTCAAGACACAGGCAAAAAAGTGAGTCCAATTCAGCATACACCTAAATTCCTCTGGGTTTTTCATGTTACCTTCAAGTGTGGGAAGAAATATTTGTGAAGTGTAACTGAAAATAATCACTCCTATGGAAACCAAAAAGTCCTCAAACTCAATGGAGAGTCTGAATTTTGCCCAGGACCACTGGTGTATTTGTGTGAGACAGTAAGTCATCACTACAAGGAGGATAACAAAGTGAACCAAGGAGCAAAGCTGGCTGAGTTTGGAAACAATTTTGAGAGTTCTGACAAATACACAAGGTAACAGAGTAACAAATGCAATTACAGACCAAGTTTTCTCAGTCAATGCTACATATGGAAAACTCTGTGACAGCAAGTTCCCACTAACAATCAGATACAAAATACATGTCATGATCAGTTCCACCACTTGGGTCACATTGACAACTATGCCACCTAGTTTGGGAGATAGCTTTTTGCAGCAGGCATTTGCAATATCTTCATACGTGTCTCTCACTCTTATCAGTTGCCCATCTTCATTTTCTTCATACAAGCAAACAATTAGAATTTTGCCTGTGTAACAGCATAATGCTGCAGCCAAGACAATAAGAAGTAGGCCACTGTATCCACTGTGGAGGAGAGCATACGGCAATCCTAGGACAAATATTCCCTGAAAAGGAAAAAGAGAAAAAAAGCACATAACCCCCGAGGCAAAATGTTTACTAGAAGCTGCACTCCCAAACCTCTCCTCCACTGAACATTGTTTTCACCTAATTGCATGCTGTAAGTACTGCTACATTCAGCTAAGTAAGCAACAATCATGAGAAATGTGTTTATTTATGAGAAATGAAATTATCAGCAAGAATAACTGCTTCTATCAAAGCACACGTAATGATAAGCTGGGAAAAAGAGAATGTGACTGACTGATAGAGTCAGGTTTCCAGTTAATATTTAATGCTGGTGTGATTAGAAGCACATTTAAGAAGGTTCATAGTTAGTTATTCAGTCAACGTACATATTAATGAAACAGGTTCAATACAAGTAAAATTAAACATCTGTAGCATCATCTGTGTGAGTTTCATTCCAATTAAAAAAAGCAGTGTAGATAGATCCAGTAATGACAATTGTCCTTAGCCTAAAACTTGTTAGCAGACCTCTAGAGAGAAAGTGGCATTAGAGTGCATCAGACTAAACTTGTGTTTCCTCTGCAGCTTCTGTTTTCGTCATGCAGCCTTTGCTCTTGCTAAGTCCACTGCTAAAGTGATTTTTCTCAAAGCTGAGATTCTAGACTTCTTTGTCTAGAAGTGTAAACTTCTTTGGGTGTTTAAAAACACATGTAAGACATATAGACTTTTTTTTTCTCTAAACAGTTTCTGAAAGGAACATAGTTTTACTTGTTCTATCCAGTGGAAAAAAAACCAACAACGTGGCATTCCAGTTTCACAGAATGCTGTGTGCATTTCTTTGTCTTTTTCTCCCTTTCTTCTTTGTATTAAAGGACAAATTACACTTTTATGTGTTTTTTCCATCAGAACAAAACCCAAAAACCCTTCAATGATAGTTATTGATAAAAAGATCCAATTTAAGAAAGGTGCCTCTGTGACATTTCTCTTTTTATACTACAAAACTGAAATTAAGAAATGCACATTAGTCACACTGGTCAGGCATTTTTGTGCAAGATGACTGAAAAAGATAGTGAGGAAACAAAATACAATTAACTAGTTCTGCAGAAATTTTTGCTTCAATATTTCTTACCACACCCATAACATGATGAAATCTGAGCATTTGTGCTCACATTTGCTATTCTGGTCTGACAGAAGGACTTGATTTGGATCAAACCCATCTAGACTCTATTTCTGACCAAACTGGAGCAACCCCATCTGCTCTGCAACACCTATGAATCCCTGACAGAAACAGATCTTCTCACAGAAGGGGAGACTCTTCTCTCACATCTTGAGTGGATAATGCTACTGATTGTAGCCAAAGCAGAAGAGGTGAGTTTAGTGGTCTGCATCTTAATTTCAGACTTTTCCATCTACAATCATGAGCTCGAGGCCTAGTGGGGGACTAGAGTTTCAGGCATTCTTCTGGCTTTGGTATTTTCTATCAACTCTTTTCGGTTTTATACCCATCAAACAGTTTCTGTGAAGGCCGTGTAGGAGCCCAGATCTGATGGAGCTCATCAAGAAGGCAGGCACTTGTCTCAGCTTTATAGGGCTTATACCTAGCACCCCACTTCTAAGTGATACAAGTACTTCCACACCTGATCCATTAGGAGGGCTCTGAAGAGAGGCAATTTTTCAAACACTAAATAATCATTAATGTATAAGAAAGTATTATCCTTCTTTTCCAGACACAAAATAGCAGTCCTTTTCGGGCAGATTGTGAGATGAACATTAACCAGAAAAGAAAGATTTGAAGTCCTTGAATCAGAGCAGTGTTTCTTCTCTAAGTCTATGAAAAAAATGGAGTGCCCATCATATGAAAGAGCATCATTGCCTAATTTACCAGGCTTCACTCTAGATGCAGATATCTTCAGCTTTTAGCTGACTTAGAGCTGGAAAAATTGTATTAAATATAGGCCTTAGTAAATTTCACTTAAAAAGGTCTATGCCTTTATGTTTTGAAATAGAAGTACTTCAGTTATTATTACTGATATAATAATAAAGTTATTGACTAGGTATTTTCCTCATTGTTTTCCATGACTTCATTTATGGCATTTGTTTTATGTAAGTCACATATGCTATTTCATTTAGAAGTTGGGATGTTCAGCTATTAAGCTTGTGGTATTTAGTCACCCAAATCTCTCTGCTCAATTCTAATACAGGTCTCATGACCCAATTAGCTTGAAGTGTAATTAGCATTTCTTATGTACATGAACTTCACAGAATTGTTCAAAATTCTACCATTTCTGCCATCTAACAGTCTACTTTCATAAAAAGATTAGATATCTGGCTGTATCTAGACTGCAGATAGCACATATGTAACAGCAGCTTTTGATATGCCATTTTTAATCATGGCTTTCACTGACTGGTAAGTAGTTAGATAGCTGCCTAAAGAACTGAACTTGGTTTCTTTCCTATGAAAACAATCCTTGGGAAACATTGACATAACAGATAGATTTTAAAAGCATCACAAATAAACCAAATCTATGAAAAAATCAGGAAGATAAAACCATAGAGTCATCTTCCATATTAACATAAGAACAATGATGTTTTCTCAGTTCCTTGCAGTCTGTATAAAGCTTATCTCATTTGTTCTATACTCACAGCATTATTATTTTGCTGCTTAACCTGCAACTGGGACTTAAAATGGTATCTGCTGACCCAAAGGGTCACTGTATAATCAAACTGCATGTAAGTGTCAGCATGGGCCTTGCCCACACAATGGCTTCTCCCCTGCTGAATTTAGTCTATTAACATTTATACGACTAGTCTCAACCTAAACCAAAACAGAAGACTTTGAGAGAGGTTATTGCTTTAGACAGCCATTTACAGTCCTGACCACAGGTATCTGCTTTTCCATGCTTAATTGTTAATTTAATCAGAGCATAAAATAATTCCAACTTTTAACATCTCCTTGCCATTGCTCATATCAAATAATTTAATTCAGTATCTAACATAGACCACAGGATGATAGTGGGGGGTTTTGGGCTGATTTTTTTTCATCTTGTGAATTCAGACCTTATTAAAAAACCCCATTTTTGTCTCCATATACTCGATCTTAAAATTATGTATCAGTGGTTGTCAATTTCAGGTTTAGGCTTTAGTATTTACAAATTGAACATTTCTATGGAAATTGTAAGTTTCTGACATCTTTGACATCTATTTCCCAGAGTGTGTAAACTTCAGCTCTCAATTACTAATAGAAAGCAAACATTGTGGTCATAACTGATTTTGCAGCTTTTTGGATATAGAGCATGGTTAGTTGAGAGAAATGGGAGAACATTGAATATGCCAATGCAGTAAGTATATATGTGGTGAAAGGACAGTGTTTTTCCTGCCTTGTCAGAAATGGTTTCTCCACTTAATAATGAGGAGAAGAAGAAGGAGGAGGAGGAGAAGGAGAAGAAGAAGGAGAAGAAGACAGAAGAAAGAAGGAAGAAGAAGAAGAAGGAGAAGAAGAAAGAAGGAAGAAGAAGAAGAAGAAGAAGAAGAAGAAGAAGAAGAAGAAGAAGA